TTATTTTGGCAGGTTGTTTAGAATTTTGGTTTTAATATGGACAGGAATGGGAAAGGACCAATCAGATTCATAGTGGATTTGACCAGTCAGAGACCTGACGAGACTGGATCACACAAGAAGTTAACCAAACACTGTTAAAAGTCCAGAGGTTCATACCTTTTTGGCTTCAATTGTTCGACTTTTGCTAGTCTTTTTGGTAGGGACAAGGGTAAGATGACACACCATTGGTTGCTGACCGACCAAATCTCCGTTATTAGTGGGAAAAAACAAATGAAAAAGAAAGAAGGATAAATTACATTTGACCTTCTTAAACAATTACTCTTGTTTTATTTTATACTTTTAATTATAAAATTTCGTATATTACACCCTAAGATATCAATTTTGTTTCATACCACTTTAAACGAATGTCAATTTTTTTTGACGGTAAATGCACATGTGAGTAGTTTGTACTATCAATAAGCAACTGTTTATTGAATATGTGTAGGTCAAAAATTAAGAAAAATACCTATCTATGACTTTGTCCTTCCTAAGCTCAAAATTTTTTTTCCTCTGGTCGACCTTTTTTATTTATTTTTTATTTTTTCCAGTAATCATTTAGTTGCAAAAATGGTAAAATAAAATAGTACTAGACATTTGGAAGAAAATTTTTTGGCTTTGAAAGATTTTTAAATTTGTCATTATCTATTAAAGTGATATAACTAAAATTAATACTTTAGGGTACAATGTGAGAAATTTTATAGTTAAGGGTATAAAATGAAATAAGGGTAATAATTCAAGGGAGTAAAATGTAATTTACTTGTGAAAATTAGTTGCCTGTACCACACCCCAATCACGTGCAATTTTGTTGCCTTTGCCCACAAAGTCATATATATTGACAAAATGTTATCCCTTTTCTGTCTTAACATATGGTTCAAGAATGCTCGACTCGGACAACATTGAGATGTATCAAAACACACCGTGACAAAATGATTTTCAGACAATAAATAGAGAATGAATGAAAATGTATTGAAATTGAAAATGTCGCGAATTAAACGTGATGCGACTGAATGTGTCAGCCTCGTCCGATTCTTTTGACATTATTGATCAGTTCATTATGTGGCAACAACATGGAAATCTGTTAACGAGCCTCCAACAATGTAATAGTCATACCATTTGCTGAACAAGATTCATGCTTGCTTGATGAGGGATGAGTCCTTACTTCTGTACTTCTATCAAGAAACCAGGCTGCTTTGGCTGAGGCAATGCACTCTCACCACTCAACATCAGAACCACCGATAACATGTCCGGCCGGTCATCTGGAAGCTGTTGCACACACAAGAGACCCACATGGATGCATCTGAATATCTCAGGTAAATTGCACGAGTCCTTAACTGATATATCGATCAGTTCAAGTGCCCTCTCTTCCGTCCACAATTTCCACGCCTATAACAAGATTAAGCTCACGTTGTGATTCAATATTTTACAACAAGGAACCTATATAAATATTATATTCTCAACACTTACGAGTTCAATAAGAATAAAATGGTGCCCTCTGCTCTTCTTCCCGCTTAATATCTCCAATAGAAGAACACCAAAACTGAAAACATCAGATTTTACCGAGAACATTCCATAAATAGCATATTCTGGTGCCATATAACCACTGCATAACATCATCAAAAGTCAAAACACATATAAGTATATTATGGTGTTATAGAGAATAAAAATGGGTTTGTAGACATACTATGTCCCAACCACTCTCGTTGTATTTTCTTCACCCTGATCTCCAAAAATTCTAGCTAACCCAAAGTCAGAAATTTTCGGGTTTAGCTCATTATCAAGTAACACATTACTTGTTTTGAGATCTCTATGAATAATTCTTAGTCTCGAATCTTGATGAAGGTAGAGAAGCCCTCGAGCAATTCCGCGAAGGATGTGAAAACGCTTTGACCAATTTAACAATTTACCTCTTGTTTCATCTGTTAATATTTTTTCATTTATCAAATTAGTCTCTGCTCCAACTTCGGTACACACAACAAAAAGTCAAAGACATTAAATCCTAAAAAAAGAAGAAATGTACCAATCTACTTAAAGTTGTTTGTTTTTTAAGATTCTAACCAAAAATATAGTAGTCCAGGCTTTTGTTAGACAAGTATTCATAAATCAACATTCTCTCCTCTCCTTGATTGCAATACCCAAGAAGCTTTACGAGATTTCGATGTTGAAGTTTGGCGATTAGTATCACTTCATTCTTGAACTCAATCAAGCCTTGTCTAGAACTCTTTGAAAGTCTCTTTACAGCAATTTCTTGGCCATCCACTAAAATTCCCTGAAAAATCACCAAATGTTGAAAGATTGGTATTCTCAAATAAATCTAGTGTTTCGTTGCAACCTATGGTCATTAGCAGCTTACCTTGTAAACAGGTCCAAATCCACCTTCTCCAAGCTTTTTATTTATTGAAAAGTTATCAGTAGCAATAGATATTGTAGACAAGTCAAATGAGGGTAAATCTAGATCTTCATCTGTCCCTTCTTCAATACGTGTTACAGGGAACACCCACAAGGATAAATAACATAAGTAAACAAATGGTTAAATCATACATGTAAAACACGGATTTCCTACACTAGAAGCTCAAAAATTTAGAAATATAGCATCAAGGAATGTTATAATTTCAAGTAAATTCTAGTATGGAAGTTTTACTATGCCAAGGGTACTATTTGAATGTCTGTAAATTTATTTAGTTCTTAAAATACAATGTGAAGTTAGTTTGACAATGCTTCCCAGTTCAGAAAACAAAACTTTTAAAGCATATACCTATTAATGTCTTCTAATTTGCATGTGGGAACGAGCATGTTAGTAGTTTAAGATTTTACCTTTTGTTGTTGTCCTGCCCTTCCAATTGTAATAGATGACAAGAATTATCCCAGAAATTACTGCAATGGGGCTACAACAGTAACTGGTATGATCCATTTGGTACCATCTTTTGCCTCTCCAGGATCCGACTTCCCTGTAGTCCCATTCTTTGTCCCTTCTGGAAGCAAACAGTCACATTTACGCAGAAAAAATAAAAAAGCACATGAAAGAGCAGAAAAAATAAAAGAAAGACAGATACCTAAGCTTGAAGCAGACATTCTTATATATAGATCGCCTCCGTCAGTGGGGAACTGTCTGATATCAATCAGATCACCAAACCATAGTGCACAACCACTACCAGTTCCTCTAATATCCGAATTTGTATAAGCCATGCAAGAGCAATCGTTTAAGCACTTCTCCCTGCATTCACTAAGGTTCATACTTTTGTTCACCCAACTATTAGTAGTATCTGGCAATTTTAAGTTTACAAATTTATTAAAGCCTTCCGTACTTTTGCAGTCCAAAGGCTTATTGCGTATGCATCCCTGTGACGTGTCAATCGACTTCCATCTGTCCGGTGATTTTGGCTTGAATCCTATCAAACATTGGCAAACAGGTGTGGCAAGGATGTTGCATAATCCGTTGGCGCCACAAGCACCATAATCGTCACAATAGTCTTGCGGTCTTGATGAAACAGTCTTCCAGATCTGTTCAGCTTCCAACCATATATGGCGCTCCACCAAGGAGGTGGTTTGGTTCAAAACAAGGCTTCCGATTATAGATTCATTATAGAACTGATAGGTGTAGTACACCTCCTCCTCATTAGAGATAAAATTTAATGAATACAAGGAATTGGACTTTAAGTTAGGTGTGCCACTAATTCGAATGCCATTCCAGGGGCCAGTTCGAAAGTACTTTGTTGAGCCCTTCCGGATGACTCCCTCAGGATATTCATGAAGTTCTATGCCTAAAGTTAGGTCTCCAGGTGAAGGGTCTTCGGAATTCTTCCATGAAGATAGCCGCCTGTTCAGACCAACCTTTAAGTCCCATCCAAGCTTCATACCTGGTAACAATGTATCACATGGATAATCAAAGCTCTGCCACACATATGCTTCTGAATTTACATCTTTCTCTTCTTTAATGACAAGATTTCCAGAATCTAAAAGCTGTGTGACTGGATTCTGGACTTGTCCCGATGAATTTGATGACCAAACAACACCATTAGGGCTATTGACAAGAAGAAGATTGCCCGAGCTGTTGACCATGAATGTGCCGGAGAGATCTTTAATTGGTCTTTCTCTGTTGGCCACCCAAACAACAGTTGTAACTCGGATATTCTTGTACCAAATTCCCAAGTACCGGTTCTTGGAACTGCCTGGACTGAAAAAACCCAGTTCAAATTTTCCATGTTTTGAAACTAAGGTCTTGCCGTCACTAAGAGATAAGGTTGGAGTGATAGTATCAGTTAAAGCAGAGGTTTTCGATAATAAACAACAAAAGCAAACATAAAATTGAACAAACAAAAGACTGCTCATTTTGATGATCTCTAATGTTCTCTAATCTTTGATAATCCCTTGCAAGTTAAGAGAAAAAGGCTATATTTTGGTGTAATTTGGTAGAATGAGTTAGAAAACACACATTTTTGACTTGTACACAACACACAAGTATCCCACAAGAGGAGGAAATTAAACCAGTGAACTGGACCACCCGAGCTGGGGCTTCAATACCCTCATCCTCCAGGCATAGGAAAGCAGTATCACAAAGGCTTCACTACAGTGTCTTTTTCCGTGGGTGAATGAATGGTTGAAATGGAACTTTCGAGGAGGAAGAAAGACAGACTCATGAAAGTCGAAAGACTTGAAGAATTTGTTTGCCAGACAGAATAATCTGTCAAGACTTTTCAGCGTTACAAGCCAAATTGACTTGGAAATCTAAATTGTCTGTCCCAACTCTTGTGGTGGTGACTGGTGAGCCCTCAACTAAACGTCAAACATGTTAAAAGAGATCATAGTATTCCAGCAATCAAAAAAAAAAAAAAAAGGTTCATAGACAATTAGACATGCTATGTCCAATCACTTTATTAGTATTTCCTTCACTTTGATCTCCAAAAATTCTAGTCATCTCAAAATCTGATATTTTCGGGTTCAACTCATTATCAAGTAACACATTACTTGCTTTGAGATTTTTGTGAAAAATTCTCAATCTTGAATCTTGGTGAAGGAAGAGAAGCCCTTGAACAATTCCGCATATGATGTGAAAGCGTTTTGGCCATTTTAAAATTTTACCTCTTGTTCCATCTGGTAATTTTTTCCATGTATCAAATTAGTCTATTCTCTCATAACAACCAATTAGAGGCATTAAACTTTCGAAAACAATAAATGCACTATTTTACTTGAAAGTTGTTAGTTTTTGAGATTCAAACCAAAAATATAAGAGTCCAAGCTTTGTTGGGCAAGTATTCATAAATCAACATTTTCTCTTCTCCTTGATTGCAATAACCAAGAAGCTTTACAAGATTTTGGTGTTGAAATTTGGCAATCAGTATTACTTCATTTTTTAACTCCGTCAATCCTTGTCTTGAACTTTTTGAAAGTCTGTTCACAGCAATTTCTTGACCAACTATTAAAGTGCCCTGAAAATTACCAATTGTAGAAAGAGTGATTCTTGAATAAATTAGTGTCTTTTAACATCCTCTAGTCATTAGCATGTTGCATGCAACTTACCCTGTAAACTGGACCAAAACCATCTTGTCCAAGTTTGTTATTTGTTGAAAAGTTATTAGTAGTAATGGATATAGCAGCCAAGTCAAACGAGGGTAAATCTAATTCTTGATCGTTTGGGCCCTCTTTGCTATGACCATTTTCAGCTATAGTATAAACAAAGGCACAATACTTGTTACAAGAAACATCAAAAAAAAAAAAATAAATAAATAAAATAAACTACTGCTACTGTATGGATATAGATGGGCAATTACAATATGTGCCAAAACCATATGTGAAAAAATGGATTTCTTTTCTTAAAAGCTCAAAATTACGAAATATATAATCAATTACGAAATGATGTCCTATATATACATAGCTCAAGAGTCAACAGTTTGACCATTGCAAGATTTTTACATTGCAATCATAATAGCTCCCCTGTTCAGAAAACAAAACTGTAAAACAGAGTTCTTCATCTTTTCTTAGATAGTTATATGAATAAGAAAGAAGATCCACAAAATAACTTCACTACTAGTTCTATGGAATAAAACCTTTCAGTATCGCGTCTTCGTTTATGTAAGGGGTTTTCTTCCCCTGCACAGAAGGATTTTGGCTGATCTGGGCTGAGTCCTCCAGTAGTCTTTTACCTCTTGTCTCACGTCGGGAGAGAGTCGTCTCCCTCCCTGCCATATAAGTGAACACTTACTAGGTGGCTAGGAGGTACCTCCTCCATACTAAATGTTCACTTATATGGCAGGGGGGAGACGAGTCTTTCCCGACGTGGGACTAGAGATAAAAAGTTACGGGAGGACTCAGCGCAGGTTGGCCAAAAACCTTCCGTGGAGGGGAAGAAGAAGAAAACCCCTTACAGTTTATATCTTTCTTCAATTGTCATTTCCAATAGCCTTACTATGTCTTTCCTCTATATCAAAGGAGAGATAAAGATCACTGGGCTGTTGTGAGAATAAAAGAAACTGTTAAAGGCCAGGAGGTGCCGTGTAGATTGTTCCAGTAGTTCGAAGACAAGTCCTAATATCTAAAATCTCGCTTGAGATACAGAACAGAAATGGGTAGTAGACTTCAAGAAGTAAAGGTGAAGAAGAAGGAAGTGAGGTGGAACCTGAAAGGCATATGCGGTTTTGATTATTTACCTAAGTAGCTCTTCAATTATTTGCATGTTATAAATTAGAGACAAGCTTTATCATAATTTGATTGTATTACAAAGAGAGATTGAAACATTAGAACACCAAAAACACGAACTAGAATCAAGGCCAGCAACCGTATTTAACTTCAGAGTAGTTGGTCTTCAAATTAGATTGCTAATTTGGAAGATAAATTATAGAAAACATAAAGCTCAAAAACTTAAAAGCCAACTGGAAAAGCATTTTATAGGATAAAATAATATTTCCAAAGACTAGGAGTAGCTACTATAATAATTGAAGTATAGAGGGTAAATTGTATAAATTATTTGATAACCCATTTGGTATACCATTTGGGCAGCGTAGCAAAGCCCATAAATTATTGCAATGGAGCTTTCAAGGAAGAAGAAAGGCAGACTCATGAAATTCAAAATACTTGAAAATTTTATTTGCGAGATGGAAAAATCTCTCAAGGCTATTCAGCATTAAAAGCCAAAGTTACTGTCCCGAATTATGCCGATGAAATCAAACTTATCTGCCCCCCCCCCCCCCCCCTAGCTAACAGCGTATTAGTGTCGTATGTCTTATTTTTAAGTCGTGTCATTTTGATTTGTATCATATTCGTGTTAAAAAAAAATATTTAATTGTAAAACAGTTCATTCAGTATCATATAAAGAAATTTTAAAAATAATAAAATGCTCATTTTTTGTTTTTAATACCGGCCAAACGTGTTATTCCCTTTCAAATAAATCCTCTTAGTTCATCATATCATTTTTTATTTCATTTCGTATGGTTTCGAATTCGTGCCGTAAAATTGGCATCCCAGCCCCAACATTTTTTTTTTATTTTTTGAACTTACTAGGCCCAACAGATAACACGTCAAATGTTAGTAGCCTGGTGTGGTTATTGAGCTGCTTTAGTTGGGTACTGAAATTGCTTATTAAATTTTCACCATTAGAAGATTATATACAAATTCAACTGTGGAAAATCATATAAAAAAACTATAGAGTGGTTTCTGTATCATTTCTTAAATGCCAAGAGGTTTTCGTTTTATTTCACAAAAATTGAGGGGGTCTCAATGTAATTCATCCTATCTATTATATTTTTACAAATTAGTTAAAATTTCATAGAAGCTAATCATGGCCGGCTTGAGGCTTAAAGCGACAGATCTGAGGCATTTTATATTTTTTTAAGTGAATTTTTTCACTTTTCAAAGCACTTAATAACTAATTAGATATTGTATTAAATTAATGGTAACATATTATTTTTAATTAATAGTATAAATAATTTACTTAATCTTTCTCATAACAAAATCAATTTGAGTGCTCGAAACATAAAGTAGAAGTAATGAATTAGTAATTGTTACTAGTTTTATTGGTTTACACGATAAAAAATATATTGGAATGTAAATAAGTAGGGGTGTTCACCCTATCTTACAGGTAGAAAATATTGTCTTTCGTCTTTCTACCCGATATTTTGCGGAAGAATTTTTTTTGGCCTACCCTATCCGATCAGGAGTGGTATTCCTACCCGAATAATTGGGTAGGAAGTCGCGTAGGAAATCGGGTAAACACTTTTGTAACTATTAATTTTTGGATCATTTTAACAATTCAATTAAATAACATGCACCAATTTAACAACACAATAAATCAATAACACTAAAATCTAAAACAACTACAACAACAATTACAATAAAACATAAAAAATATGAACATCAATCCATTATAATTGTTACACAAATACAAACAATTATTTTAAGTTTAAACCATATGAAACACATTAAAATCATAACTGCTCAAATAGATCACTAGTTCACCACAAATCTTGTGATCTACACAAAAAACAAGTCTATAATTTTGCAAATCAAACACCCACAACAATAACAATGTTATAATATAAATTATACCACACAAATACTCTTATAATTACTAAAAAAAATATAAAAAAATTAAATATATTTTTTGTGGGTAAGGTAAGGTAGGAATGCGAAAATTGATGGGTATTCCGCATTCCTTCTCGATTTAATTGGAAGACTAAATTTTTTTTCTCATTTTTACCCGATTTTTACGGCTAGCCGTTCAGTAGGATAGGGTAGGGTAAGAAATTGCAGCCAATCAAAAATTTGAACACCCCTATAAATAAGAGTAAGTTAGCTGCAGTCCAACCCGTCACTCATTAGACTGACCCTGTTAGCGTGGGCTTATTGACCAGTTGGTAGGGCCTACGGACAGTCCTATTAGACGGACTTTTTATATACAATTTTAATAAGAAATAATGAATATTTTTGTAACTTAATATTTTTGTAACTTATATTTTTGAATTAAAAGTATGAGTTAAAATAGACAAAAAATAAATAATGAATAATTTTATTTATAAATAAGAGGAAGAATTGCGTTACAATAGAATAGTACATCTCAACTAGGTTGATACCTATAATATCTAAATTTCTAAAACTTCAAAATCTGGCATTGGGGGACTTATTTCCATGTTTTGATTGGGTAGGACAGGTTGGTTATTAGGCCGGGTTTTAATCGGCTTTTTAAGGCGGGGCTGTTGGCTAGTTTTTCGGGTCGAATAATGGATTTGGGGGTTGGCCTAAGCTCTTTCTTGAAGGATATTGTGCTCGAGCAGATTAATAATTGGGTCTATCAAATTTTAGACTTAATTTTTTGGGCTGAGAAATAAGACCCGTGGACAATTCGACCTAAGAACTCCCTCTCGAGGCTGTGAAATATAATGGTGTCGTTTAGAGAGATCGACTCGAAAATAATAATATATGAGATTGACTTGGAAATAATAATATTTTGTTGCCATATAGAATGATGATATATTTTTGTCACGCCCCATCACCATTTTTCGTTGTAATGGACAACTTTAGTCAATGGCTGTTAAGCCTTTCTATGATAGTAAGAGGTTGAGATAAGGCGTTACCCATATTTGCAAAAAATATTGTCTCTCAGTACCACACAGTTATCTATAGAAAGCTCAATTACACATATGTTAGGATCGAAATTAAGGTCTCACTGTTTGTTCTGGACATTAAAGAGTTAATTTAGTCTCGTTGAATTATCGTAGTTATGAAGATTTGAATCCAAAGTTTTGAATGATAAAATTCGACTTTCTAGACCAACTAATGATGATAGTATTTTGCTTGTGTGTGGACATATGGTGGAGTAATCAAAATATACTCTCTTTTTTTTCTTGTGTTCCTAATCACATGTGATTTGAACTTAAAAAGGTTGAGTTTAGACATAATATTCGTAATTCAGAATGATATGTCATGAATTCAAGTTTGAAAATCAATTTTGAGATTGAGATTGATAACTTTGGGCCGCCCCTGGTTCAGAGCATCAAACCACCTTGGATTCAATTAATAGACTTTCTCTAGTCTTTTTAGTAGGGACAAAGGTAAGATGAGACACCATTGGGTGCCGACTGACCAAATCTCCGTTATTAACGGAAATAAAAAATGAAAAGGAAAGAAGGGTAAATTATACTTTATCCCTTTAAATTATTACACTTGTTTTATTTTATACTCTCAATTATAAAATTTCTCACATTATACCCTAGAGTATCAATTTTATTTCATATCACTTTAATTGATAACAAATGTCAATTTTTTGACGGTAAATGCGTAAGTGAGTAGTGTGTACTACTAATAAACTATTGTTTATTACATATATACTAGTAAAAAATTAAGAAAAATATTTATCCATGACTTTTCACTTCTTATGCTCTAAATTTTTTTCCTCTGGCTAACCTTCTTTTTTTTTCCACCAACTATTTGGTTGCAAAAAAGGTAAAATAAAGTGATACTATAAACTTGATGGGAAGTTCTTTGGAATTTTTCTCCCTCATTTGAAAGAGTTTCAAGTTTATCATTATTTATTAGAGTGATATGAAATAAAATTAATATGTTATGGTACAATGTAAGAAATTTTATAGTTATGGGTGTAAAGTGACACAAGGCTAATAATTTGAGGGAGTAAAATATAATTTACACATGAAAGAAACCACAAATTAATTGCCTCTGCCACACCCCAATCACGTGCAATTTTGTTACCCTTTTCTTTTAACATATGGCTCAAAGAATGATGGACTCGGACAACATTGAGGTGTATCAAAACACCGTGACAAATTGATATCAGACAATTCGTACAAAAAAATAAATAGAGATTAAAGAAATTAGTTGAACAAAATGAAATATTTAGACCTTATAATCATAACATAGTAGAACTTTATGAGTAGATACATTACATGTCTCTAATAATTACTCGGTAGACTGAAACTTTTCGGAGCCTATTAAAAGTTAATTGAACCTATTAAATTGTGATATATATGAAACATGAATGAATAGCTATTAGAATTGAAAGTGCCGCGAATTAGACGTGACACGGCTGAATGTGTCAGACTCGTTCGATTCTTTGACAGTATTGATCAATTCATTATGTGGCAACAACATGGAAATCTGCTAACGAGCCTCCAACAATGTAATTGTCACACCATTCGCTGAACAAGATTCATGCTTGCTTGATGAGGGATGAACTTCATTCTGTACTTCTATCAAAAAACCAGGCTGCTTTGGCTGAGGCAATGCACTCTCACCACTCAACATCATAACCACCGATAACATGTCCGGCCGGTCATCTGGAAGCTGTTGCACACACAAGAGACCCACATGGATGCATCTGAATATCTCAGGTAAATTGTACGAGTCCTTAACTGATGTATCGATCAGTTCAAGTGCCCTTTCTTCGGTCCACAATTTCCACGCCGACAACAAGATTAAGCTCATTTTGTGATTCAAAATTTTACAACAACGAACCTATATAAATATCAGATTCTTGACACTTACGAGTTCAATAAGAATAAGATGGTGTCCTCTATTCTTCTTCCCGCTTACTATCTCCAATAGAAGAACACCAAAACTAAAAACATTAGATTTTACCGAGAACATTCCATAAATAACATATTTTGGTGCCACATAACCACTGCATAATATCATGAAAAGTCAAAACACATAAGTAGATTATGGTGTTATAGAGAACAAAAATGGGTTTGTAGACATACTATGTCCCAACCACTCTCGTTGTATTTTCTTCACTCTGATCTCCAAAATTTCTAGCTAACCCAAAGTCGGATATTTTCGGATTTAGCTTATTATCAAGTAACACATTACTTGTTTTGAGATCTCTATGAATAATTCTTAGTCTCGAATCTTGATGAAGATAGAGAAACCTCCGAGCAATTTCGCAAAAGATGTGAAAACGTTTTGACTAATTTAATGGTTTATCTCTTGTTTCCTCTGATAATTTTTTTCACTTATCAAATTAGTCTTTTCTCCAACTTTTGCGCACACAACAAAAAGTCAGAGGCATTAAATACTATAAAAATAAGAAATGTAGCAATCTACTTAAAATCGTTAGTTTTTTAAGGTTCTAACCAAAAATATAGTAGTCTAGACTTTTGTTGGACAAATATTCATAAATCAACATTTTCTCCTCTCCTTGATTGCAATACCCAAAAAGCTTTACGAGATTTCGATGTTGAAGTTTGGCGATTAGTATCACTTCATTCTTGAACTCAATCAAGCCTTGTTTAGAACTCTCTTTACAGCAATTTCTTGGCCTTCCACTAAAGTTCCCTGAAAAATCACCAAATGTTGAAAGATTGGTATTCTCAAATAAATCTAGTGTTTCGTTGCAACTTATGGTCATTAGCAGCTTGCCTTGTAAACAGGTCCAAATCCACCTTCTCCAAGCTTTTTATTTATTGAAAAGTTATCAGTAGCAATAGATATTGCAGACAAGTCAAATGAGGATAAATCCAGATCTTCATCTGTCCCTTCTTCAATACGTGTTACAGGAAACACCCACAAGGATAAATAACATAAGTAAACAAATGGTTAAATCATATAGGTAAAACACGGATTTCCTACACTAGAAGCTCAAAAATTTAGAAATATAGCATCAAGGAATGTTATAATTTCAAGTAAATTCTAGTATGGAAGTTTTACTATGCCAAGGGTACTATCTGAATGTCTGTAAATTAATTTAATTCTTAAAATACAATGTGAAGTTAGTTTGACAATGCTTCCCAGTTCAGAAAACAAAACTTTTAAAGCATATACCTATTAATGTCTTCTAATTTGCATGTGGGAACGAGCATGTTAGTAGTTTAAGATTTTACCTTTTGTTGTTGTCCTGCCCTTCCAAATGTAATAGATGACAAGAATTATCCCAGAAATTACTGCAATGGGGGCTACAACAGTAACTGGTATGATCCATTTGGTACCATCTTTTGCCTCTCCAGGATCCGACTTCCCTGTAGTCCCATTCTTTGTCCCTTCTGGAAGCAAACAGTCACATTTATGTATGACAAAATCCACTGATCAAACATAAAATTCCGTAAAAAGCACATGAAAGAGCAGAAAAAATAAAAGAAAGACAGATACCTAAGCTTGAAGCAGACATTCTTACATACAGATCGTCTCCGCCAGTGGAGAGCTTTCTGATATCAACCAGATCACCAAACCGTAGTGCACAACCACTACCATTTTCTCTAATATCTGAGTTTGTATAACTTGAGATGAATGTGAGTGAAAAGGGATAAAAACTAAGTGTAGAGGCTTATATATATAACCAATGAAAGTTACAATAAGGATAAAAAGGTAAAAAGAGAAAACTTAATAAGCCCTAATAAACTAGGTTGCTGTTATATCTCCAACACTCCCCCTCAAGCTAGACGCAAAAATGTCAACTAAGTCAAACTTAACAACAGAGTCCCAAAGAATATATAGAGTGATAGGTTTGGTAAAAATATCTGCAACCTGATCACTGATCCTCACAAACGATGGAGTGATAATACTACTGCTAACCTTCTCCCGAATAAAGTGAATATCGATCTCTATATGCTTCGTCCTCTCGTGTAATACAGAATCAGAAGCAAGCTGAATAGCAGATCGATCATCATAATATAATGTAGATGAAGAAGTCACTGAAAATTCTAACTCGCCAAGAATCGATCGTAGCTAGATAATCTCACATGTGCCAAGTGCTAGTGCCCGATACTTTGCTTATGCCGACGAACGAGAGACAACTGACTGCTTCTTGCTCTTCCAAGAAATAAAATGAGTCCCTCGAAAAGCACGGAAGCCTATAGTAGATCGACCGTCACATGCTCCCCCATAATCTGAATCTGAATAACAGGCTAGAGAACCAGTCTGAGATCCTGATGTATAGAACAACCCAAGTTCAGGACAAGACTTGAGGTACCAAAGAATATGATAAATTGCATCAAGATGAGACTGACATGGTCTATGCATGAACTGACTAACTCGTCGAATAAATTGCATCAAGACACGTGTCCTCGGTATTACCAAAACACTGTTGCTAAGATCAAGCATCATCGGCTCACAAAGGTCCCTCGCTCCCGAGGTACTCGTCATATGGGATCATGTCATTCAGTACGTTTTACAACCGACACGTAGCCTCGGTCTGATATGGTACCTCGGTCGGTATACCTCCCTCGATTCCGAGATGAGCCTTTCCTCGGTGCCGAGAGGTACCCCGTCCTGGACGCCTCCTCTGCTCCAGGATAAACGATTGACGTACAGGTCATTAGCCTAGGCTAGTCTAGGCTATTCATCATGACCTCGTCTTATACAATTAGTGTCAGAACGTACAGGAATGCAGGGGCCACAGTCAATGGGGGATGGACGCGTGGCATATGATGTCACATCAAAGACAGAAAAATCGCATGCCGTTGCTGACACGCGACTTGGGAAAACAAACGATTAATTACACCATTCCCTTGACGAGACTGCATTCAATGCGGTAAGGCTCGGAAATGAAAGACAATAAATGTTCCTAATACAGAGCATTTATTGCATCCTCCCCGAGAGGAGTTCATTGTACCGTCGGCATCCCGATGACGCAACATTGATTGCTCGGGACCCCGAGCAGTTAAGAAGAGAAGACATTCCTCATCAGAATCAGTGCGCACACTGCCTGTACCTAATGATCATCTACTGGCTACACTGACAGCAATCATGAGCTTTTGATGTATAAATACTCCTTGCAAAAGGCAATACGGTATGCAACAAAAAACTCTTTACCACAATACACACTCAGTGTTTTCTTCTTCCTCTCTCTCTCAAAGACTGACTAGATCGTCGGAGGGGATACGCCAAAAAACACTCCGGCGCTCTTCTAACTTGTTCTTCTTTGTTCCAGGAACTCTTCTTCAGCCTTACTGGATCGTTCTTCCGCTCCCCCAGGGTCTCCCGTTGCCGTTTCAAGTTACCACCGGACCTCGCAGACTATTTCAAGCAGCGTGGTTGGTCACTCAACTGACTCACTCGAGTTCACCAAAAAAAAGATCTGTTCTCGTTTTTATATTGTGCAAGATCCTGCACGCACAATATTCTTGAAGTTGTTAATTGTTCACCACGCGTCCCTACGATGAAAAATAGGTTCCTTTCTACAATTTGTTCTATTGGAGACTATAAAAATGAGATTACGGGCTATTTTTATCATGCATTATTTACGAAACTTCGTGAGAAAATCCTCAATATATGGGCCCACTCCAAAGTGGAAAATTCTAGAAAGTAGATTGAGCGCAAGAAGGAGATCCATGGTGTGACTTAAGATGATGAAAGGTGGAGATGCTATCAAGGGTTGGAAAAAGAATTGAGTTTTAGGGTTTTTGTTATCATTGCTACTGCTCCCAGTCCCAAATGCAATGAATGCTTTTGCTGTCAGTTTTCTCATTTTCGGTGCATTTGCTTTCAGTTCTTGTCTTTTGTTTTCATATTTTGGAATTTCCGAAACGAGGTTTGGCATGTTGGTCTCAAATGTACGTAGTCGACATGGAAAGACAGATTATATGTCCTTATAATGAGCCCCAGCAGATTATTCACCAGCGAGGTTCACATTGCGCCTAGATTTTTGCAGGTCTAGACTAGCGTGAGTGTCGGCTCGGGTAATTAAGAACACGTGCAAATTTGCGACGAAGACTTCAGCAACCAATGTTTAATGGTTGGCACAAAATGGATCTTTCTGTTTTTGACTCATAATTAGTCAATTTATGATTTTATATACTTTAACTCTTATTTTGTTGTACTTGACTCATATTTGGCGAGTTTAACGAGTTCAACCATCGGATCAAATTCAAATATACTAATTCAAAATTGATACCAAATTTCAGTAAATTTGGTATAAATTTTGACTGGGTAAGTTGGTTCTGATTTAGGCCGATTAAGTTCGCCACCTAGAACCCTCAATTAAACAAATAAATTAGGAGTCCAAAAATAATATTTTTACAAAATGCCTAAAAATATTTTGGAAAATATGATTTAAAAATCAAATAAAAAATTTACATAGGATTTGGTGTAGAAGTGGAAAAAGTAGGAATAGCAGGCCTTAGTTGATTTGGTTGCAAAGAGGTGCTCGAAGAGCTTCTTAAATCCTCACTCTTTTTTAAACTTAAGTTTATATTTCATTAAAAACTCTTTTTAATATTAAACTCATACCTATATTAAATTAAGGGAGACCCATTTGTTTATGTAAATAAAGAGAGACCGAAATACATATCTAAATCTTTAATGATAAAATTTCACATTTTTTTAAAGATCAAATAGTCATATTTTTACCCTATTTTAAATTTTAGTTTATCTTTTTTTTAAATTCGAGTTTCTCCATTCGAGAGATCCATAACAAATTAATCTTTTAACACTTTTTTTTACTCAAATTTGAATAAGGATTTAAGTTTCCATTAGAGATGGTCTAATTTAATTCCTCAAATAAAAAAGTCAAACACACTCAACCGTACCGTTGCAAACCCCCGATAAAGAAAATCTATCGTACATTCAACAAGAGAACGAAAATTAAACAAATATTACGTTCAAGATAATCTCAAAGTTAAGAGACTTGTGCGTATTTATAGGCATTTTGAGGTGGTGACAGATAAACTTCTTTGCATTTAAGCAAGGCATTTGATTGTTCCACTTGTATCCTATAATAAAATTTTTGTAATGACATCATTCAACTAATTACAAAGGAACTCTCATCTCATTCAAGCAATAAAATTGTTCTGTTTGTATCATTCAATAAGCGTTTAGCAATGATGTCACAAAATCAATCAAAACAAAAATTTGAGCCATTGTCAAATGTTATATAAAAAAATAAAAAATAATAATAATAATAAATATGCTAAAAGTATATTTATAATAAAACTAATTAACATGTTTAATGTACATTACATCCAAATAAAAACCCACATCAAGAAAAAGATGAGGAAGCATGGGTATTGATCCTCTCACGCACAAGCCACTGGCCACAGATGATCAATCCTAAAGAATTCGACAAGAAAAAAAGTCACCTTTTTCAAGCGGTGAAACATCTCAAATGTATAAGAACAAAGAAACAAAATTGGAGACATCAACCACAACAAACACAAAAATGACAAAAAAAAAAAACAGTCGAATAAAAATAAGTTTTTCGGTATTTTTTTTTTGGTTATCAAACTTGTACCAACTATTACTTCGAGCTCAACAACTGACCATTGTGGTTTGAACAAATTTAGAGTATGTTTCCAAAGAGAAAATAATGACTAGTCTTATATGAGAATAGATTGAATTTGAAATTTCTGAATTACCGAATTACATGTCCACCCATTGAACCACCCTATGGGTTATAAGATCTTTAATATATGTGGAAAAGAAATAGAAATGGTCAGAGAGGGTAGAATTCTGAGTGATGTACAGGTCAAGTGAAGGAAATGCAAAACCTTTGAAGCAAAATCGTTTGCCCTTTTTCGATCAAGCCAGCGACATATCATGAACAGAGCAATGATGGTGGTGGTGACTGTTGAGACAGAGAGTCTGAGAGTGCAGAGAGAGAGAGACAGAGAGAGGATGAGATAGAGTGGTAGATAGGATTAGCTATTAGAGCAAAAAGCCCAAAAGTTTTTTAATTTTGTAGGTCTTTAGATGACCCGTCCGGTTTGAACGGTCTAGGGAAGGTTTAATGTTTGGGCTTTTAGCAATTTGAACCCTAAATACTTCAAAATTCTCATTTTATATCCTTATAAACAAAATTTTTTATATTGCACTCTTAATATATAAAAAATGTTATAATGTGACTCTTCTATTAACTTGTGTTATGTTTTTCGTCAAAAATCACCCTATTAACATTGACAAAAAACAAACAAAAAACAAACAGAAATATCACCTTGTAATACTTTTAATACATTAAGAATACGTTGTAAGAAATTTAATCTTTTACGAGTATAAAATAAAAATTTTAAAATCTTTTAGGATACAAAGTGTTATTCACTCTTAATGTTTAAACAATCTTATGAATCGCCCAGTTTATGGTCCAATTCACTAGATTCCTGAGTCAAACTGTCGGACCGGGTCGAGTTTTAAGACACTAATACAAATATTTAAGATTACTAGTTGATGCACATGGATCATGTAATGTTATAATTTTAGTTTTATTTGCAACTCAAAATTATGTGATAACCAAAAATATCCACAAAAATTTTATTGGATGAAATATCTACAATCATGCATAATAAAGCTTTTTTTTTTCCATGAATATAAAATACAGTGAAATAATCCTCTATTTGGTTTAATGCTTGACTAATCTTTGTAGATAAGAGTAATATTTACAAGAAAAAAATGTTGAAATAGGGAGTGCGCAAGGAAATAGTATTGTTCTATTACCAAGTCAAGTATGGAAAAGTCTTAGAAGGAAAATCGTGATGCCAATACATCATAGATATGTGACAAATTGTACCAATACATCATAGAACAATGAGGAAGTTACATTGAGTTTTACAACCAAAGATTTCGTGCAGATTCAGTAACAAAACAAAAAACATATATTTAATTAAAGCCAAAGCCAATCTAACATAGAAATAAAATGCAGAACCACAAAAAAAAACTCTCCCAATATCCTTTGACGACGATAATAATTCTGAAAAAACTTTTAGAATTATCAAATAGAAAAATAAATGAGTTAAAGCATTTATTTGACGTCCCTATAAGTGAAAAACTTTTGAAATTTTCTGAGTAAAAGCCAAAGCATAAATGAGTTAACAAAGATGACTTTTTTTGTAATTATTCAAAATATTTTTTTGTAAAATTCTGAGTAACAGCCTTGAACTAAAATCACAAGAAAACGCAAATAATAAAAAAACTGTTGATAAACATGTCAAACATATAATCAAACCAGAGCAGTAGTATAAATTAATCAGGTTATACTAGTGCAGTAATTCATAGCCTACCATAGATGGGAACAAAGTGTTATCATGATAATCTGTAATAGCCCCAAGAGTTCAAGCATTCCACCACTAACTCAGGACAAAATCAATGCTAACTTGCTCTTGCTCCATATCATCCAATAATCCCACACACATCAAACTACCAGAAGGCATGAAATCAAGAAGTACACTATCCCGCATATATCTTTGTGAAAGTCCCACTACATTTCTCTCAACGATGACCAAAAAAAAAAAAAAAAAGCTTCATACATTAACCATTTTCTGGTTATTGACTATGGAATAAATCAATTATAAAAGCATGCATACTCTCCCATGGAAATCAAGGCCCAACCGCCTTTATCATTAACTCAACAAAATCTATTATCTTTATATTCTGGAATTAATCAAACTCAAAAAAACAAAAAATTATTCCATGGGTGTTGAGAACACCAAAAAGAAAAATACTACTCATTATCATCAAATTTGAATGATAAGTTTGACATAAAGGATTTACAAGAGAATTGGGTGCAACTAAAAAGGTTAGGTGTACTAACAATGCAATAGATTCAAAGTATTATCAAGTAGAGGAAGAATCAATAGGTAAAAGAAATCCGATGCATCGTCTTTTGGGGTACAATAGACAAATGGTGAATGAGAGAAGGGATGGTTTTTCATAAATACAATGTATTAGACTGTAATTAAAAATTTGGTTGAAGAATTTGTAAGGTCTAAAAAGGATAAAAATTGCATTTATATTACTAATCAGTGGTTAAGGAGTGAATTTGTACATACGTAACATCCAAACAGTCATAAGTGCAGTAAATGTATCCCCCAATAATTGATTAGAAGATGGATAGGCATTGGGTTAAATATGATATTACGTACTTAATTAGGGTAATTAATCTAATAATAATCTGACTTTATACAATTGTTTGAGAGTAATGATGACAAATTTTTTTTTTTTGGGTTTATTAGTCTTTTAGGAGTAGTGTGTGTATGTGTATATAGTTTATACATTTATTTAAGAAGAAAATAGAAACTCAAAAGCCAAAAGATGAATTTATTCCTTCAATAATTATATGTAAATTCTTGAATAGGGGATAAAGTAGATATTATAAAATTCTGCAAGGCTAAAATAGGAAAAAAAAAGTTTTTCTTGTCAAACCACTTTTAAAAGTAGTATAGATAGATAAATTGAACTAATACACAATAAATATTGACACTACACGACTAATGAACTACCCTTATTCTCGAGAAATGGTATTTAAAATATACATTTATTAAAAGCTCATTGCCTTTGTTTCTCCATCTTCATCTTTCCTAAGAGAGAGGATTGGCTTTCGCTTCACGATTCCATCCCCCCAATTATGAGCGAAGAGAACTGACTTGCAGAGTACTGAGATGCATCAATTATGATGTCATAAAATAAGATCAGACGATACATATAAAATAATATATAAAAAAGAGTTTAAACTCCACGAGAAATTTAAGTCACAATACAACATAGCAGAACTCTATAAATCACTGCACTATACATCCATGACAATGACTTGATCAACCGAATTGATTGAGGTGTTTTGGAGTTTATAACGAGTCAAATGAGACTTGTGGTTAACATAAAACATAAAATGGTATCGAACTAAAAGGACCACAAATTGTAAATAATTTGGCTAAGCGTATTGAACTTGACTAATTCTTTGGACCTTGCTACAATCACCCATCCATCTAATATGATATTTTAACCACCCCCACAAGAATGCATATGTTGAGTGAAGAACCTTCATTTACATGGAATAACAAGAGATGTTAATGGATTTTTCGGGTAGTTTTGTACAAATGACTAACTTTCAAACTCTGAAATAGCAAACTATTATTCCTTCAACGGTATGCATCAGTCTATTATGTACGAACAACATCGGAATCTGCTAACGAGCCTCTAACAATGTAACAGTCATTTTATTGGCTGAACATGATTCATTCTTGCTTGATGAGGGATGAGCTTCATTATGTACTTCTATCAAGAAACCAGGCTGTTTTGGATGAGGCAGTGCACTCTCACCACTCAACATCATAACCACCAATAACATGTTCGGTCGGTCATGTGGAAGTTGTTGCACACACAAGAGACCCACATGGATGAATCTAAATATCTCAGGTAAAATGCACGAGTCCTCCACTGATGTATCAATCAGTTCAAGTGTCCTCTCTTCGGTCCACAATCTCCATGCCTATAACAGAATAAGCTCATTTATGTGAGTCAATATTTTACAACAATGAACCTCTATAAATATCAAATTCTCAACACTTACGAGTTCAATAAGATTATGGTGTCCTCTATTTTTCTTTCCACTTATTATCTCCAGCAATAGAACGCCAAAACTGAAGACATCAGATTTTATTGAGAACAATCCATAAATAGCATATTCTGGCGCCATATAACCACTGCATCACATCATTGAAAATCAAACACATGTAAATAGATTATGGTATGTCACAGAACAAAAATGGGTTTGTAACTTTGCAGACATACTATGTTCCAACCACTCTTTTTGTATTTCCTTCACTCTGGTCTCCAAACATTCTAGCCATCCCGAAATCGGATATTTTCGGGTTCAGCTCATTATCGAGTAACACATTACTTGCTTTGAGATCTCTGTGAATAATTCTCAATCTTGAATCTTCATGAAGATAGAGAAGCCCCCGAGCAATTCCACGTAAGATGTGAAAGCGCTTTGACCAATTTAACAGTTTACCTCTTGTTTCATCTGGTAATTTTTTTCATTTATCAAATTAGTCTCTTCTCCGACTTCAATGCTCACAACATGAAGTCAAGAGGCATTAAATTCTATAAAAACAAGAAATGCACCAATCCGATTAAAGTCAGTTTTTTAAGGTTCTAACCAAAAATATAGGAGTCAAGGCTTTTGTTAGACAAGTATTCATAAACCAACATTTTCTCCTCTCCTTGATTGCAATACCCAAGAAGCTTTACAAGATTTCGGTGCTGAAGTTTGGCAATCAATATTACTTCATTTTTGAACTCAATCACTCCTTGTCCAGAACTCTTTGAAAGCCTTTTCACAGCAATTTCTTGGCCATCCCCCAAAGTACCCTATAAATTAGCAATTGTTGACAGCTTGGTATTCCCAAATAAATCTAGTGCTTATTTATGACATATAGTCATTATTAGCATGTTGCAAACTTACCTTGTAAACGGGTCCAAATCCACCTTCTCCAAGCTTGTTATTTACTGAAAAGTTATCAGTAGCAATAGACAATGCAGTCAAGTCAAATGAGGGTAAATCCAAGTCTTCATCTGGGGCTTCTTCGCTATGACCACTTTCTCTGTTTTCTGCTGATTCTCATTAGTACAAGCAAAGCTCACAAGGAATACCCATAAAAATAAATAACATAAAGTAAACGAATGGTATTGAATAAATATATCTGTAAATTATAGTATTCGACTTAAATCATATATCTAAAATATGAATTTCTAAGATCAAGGAATGTTCTTCCCTCCAAAAAACAAAATAATAGATATGATCCAAATTTATATATCGAATCATGAGAAAACTACTGGAAGTTTTACAATGCCAAGGGTACTATTTGAATTTCTATAGGTTAATTTAATTCTTAAAATTAAAACACAATTTCAAATACTTGTATGAAAATGATACTTGGAATTGGTTTTAAGTGCTGGTTTTTGTCCCTTCAATCAGCTACACTACACTATAATTTGTTTGGAAGCCTGCGAAATTGACATGACAGAGGATCATCAACTGTCATCCTCTATTATAAACTGTCATCAGTTTATACCCTGAACGATTTTCATATTATGGCTAGCAGCGAAAGAGAGGCTACATACTAAGGATCATGTGAAGAAATACATGCAGCAGCTGGTGACATCATGCGTTTTTTTGTAGGAATGTGGAAGAAAGCCGTTCACATCTCTTCTTTGACTGTCCATTCACAAGTGGTATTTGGAGCAAAATTCTGTAGAATAATGGTGAAGCATGGCAGCCCCTTTCTTGGCACTAGTTAATGCAAAATTTAGCAGTACAATAGAAAGGGAAATCCCTATGAACTATAATTTTAAAACTGTTGCAGCTACAGTTTATAGCTTGTGGAGGGACAGAAATGACTACAAGGATGCAGCAACCATTTACAAGGAGATCATCCACACTTTCCGCAGCAAGCTACTCATTGTCAAGTACAAAAGTTCACTCCAGAATTGGATTATCTTAGTTTTTCAATTGATTGACATGTATAGAATAGAGGTTAATATGGTAGAAGTTGTGTCATCCTCTATTAAGAAAAAGCCACAAGCCTACTATCCTCTCTTGAGAAACACCAAAAGTATAGTCAGAAAAATGATGGTACACATTGTTGGTTGATTTTGAAGGTGAGCTAAGCCTTGAATTTACTGTCCTGAACTATGGGTGGAACAACACGTGCGAGCCCAAATAAAGGTGGAAGCAAAGAGGGTGTATGATATAGGTAAAGAATTTGACTTCCTCCAACTAATGATTTCTGCAGTTTATTCATTGCCCTCAAAAAACTCAGATTCCCGGTTCAAAGTAGAATAGAGGGATGCTATTAAAATTTAGCAAAGACAATGTGTACCAAAATGTGCCATTTAATAGGAATGAGACATGATGAATCATTGCAATTGTATTTGAATGTTCCTCTTTCATTCGCATTCCAGTCATTTATTTTCAACCATAGCAAGGTTTGTACTGCAATCACAAAAGCTCCCCTGTTCAGAACATAAATCTAAAGCGTAGTTTTTCATGCTTTCTTAAAGGGCTATATGAATTAGAAATTCCATAAATTTACTCCATTGCAAGTTCTCTGGGAATGCGCATGTGATTAGTTTAAGATTTTACCTTCTGTTGCTGTCCTGCCCTTCCAAGTGTAATAGCTCATGATTAGAATCCCAGAAATTACTACAATGGTGGCTACAATAACAACTGGTATGATCCATTTTGTACCACCTTTTGCTCCTCCAGGATCCGATTTCCCTGTAGTCACATTCTTTGTCCCTTCTGGAAGCAAACAGTCACATTTACATAGGACAAAATCGACTGATCAAACACAAAATTCAGTAAAAAACACATCAATGAGCAGCAAAAATAGAAGAAAGACAAATACCTAAGCTTGAAGCAGACATTCTTATATACAGATCGTCTCCGCCAGTGGGGAACTGTCTGATATCAATCAGATCACCAAACCATAGTGCACAACCACTACCAGTTCCTCTAATATCCGAATTTGTATAAGCCATGCAAGAGCAATCCTTTAAGCACTTATCCCTGCATTCACTAAGGTTCATACTTTTGTTCACCCAACTATTAGTAGTATCTGGCAATTTTAAGTTCACAAATTTATTAAAGCCTTCTGCACTTTTGCAGTCCAAAGGCTTATCACGTATGCATCCCTGCGACGTGTCAATCAACTTCCATCTGGCCGGTGATTTTGGCTTGAATCCCATCAAACATTGGCAAACAGGTGTGGCAACGATGTCGCATATTCCGTTGGCGCCACAAACACCATAATCGTCACAATCGTCTTGCGGCCTTGATAAAGTAATCTTCCAGATCTGTTCAGCGTCCATCCATATATGGCGCTCCGCCAAGGAGGTGGTTTGGTTCAAAACAAGGCTTGAAATTATAGATTCATTAGTGAACTGATAGGTGTAGTACACCTCCTCCTCATTAGAGAAAAAATCGAATTTATACAAGGGATTGGGCCTTAAGTTAGGTACACCACTAAATCTAAGGCCATTCCAGGGGCCACTTCGATAGTGTTTTTTTGACCCCTTCCACATAACTGCCTCAGGATATTCATGAAGTTCTATTCCATAAGTTAGGTCTCCAGGTGAAGGGTCTTCGGAATTCTTCCATGAAGATAGCCGCCTGTTCAGACCAACCCTTAAGTCCCATCCAAACTTCATACCTTGTAACAATGTATCTGATGGATAATCAAAGCTTTGCCACACATATACCTCCGAGTTTATATCTTTCTCTTCTCTTAATACAAGATTTCCAGAATCTAACAGCTGTGCCACTGGATTCTGAACTTGTCTCGATGAATTTGATGACCAAAAAACACCACCATCGTGACTGACAAGACCAAGATTGCCCGTGTTGTTGACCATGAATGTGCCGGAGAGATCTTTAATTGGTCTTTCTCTGTTGGCCACCCAAACAAAAGTTCTAACTGGGATATTCTTGTGCCAAATTCCCAAGTACCGGTTCTTGGAACTGCCTGGACTGAAAAAACCCAGTTCAAATTTTCCATGTTTTGAAACTAAGGTCTTGCCGTCACTAAGAGATAAGGTTGGAGTGATAGTATCAGTTAAAGCAGAGGTTTTCGATAATAAACAACAAAAGCAAACATAAAATTGAACAAACAAAAGACTGCTCATTTTGATGATCTCTAATGTTCTCTAATTCAACCATTCTTTTCCCGTGGTTGATCGAATGGTTGAAATGAAACTTTCAAAGAGGAAGAAAGACAGACTCATGAAAGTCGAAAGACTTGAAAAATTTGTCTGCGAGACGGAATAATCTGTTTAGACTTTTCAGCGTTACAAGCCAAATTGACTATGAAATCTAAAACATCTGTCCCAACTCTTGTGGTGGTGAGTCCCAACCAAGGGAATCAATCATTTTGAGTCGTGCATATTTTTGGATTGTGTCATTTTAATTTGCATCATTGTCAACATTCCTGCAAAATTTTATTAAATGTGGTGCGGTTATTGAGCTGCTTAGTTGGTTCTGAAACTCTTTTTTAGAATTACAAGAGATGTTTATGGATTTGTCTGGTAGGTTGCACATATACACTAATATTTCAAGATGCCTGATTGCCTTCCTCCTGTACATGAAATGGGAGAACACTAATTTGTACAGATGACTAACTTTCAAAGACACTGACACAGCAAACTACTACTCATTTAACGTTATTGATCTGTCCATTATGTCGGAACCACATGCATGGAAATCTGCTAACGAGCCTCCAACAACGTAACAGTCATCTCATTGGCTGAACAACATTCATTGTTGCTTGATGAGGGATGAGCTTCATTTTGTACTTCTATCAAGAAACCTGGTTGCTTCGGCTGAGGCAATACGCTCTCGCCGCTCAACATTAGAACCACCGATAACATGTTCGGTCGATCCTCTGGTTGTTGTTGCACACACAAGAGTCCCACATGGATGGATCTGAATATCTCAGGATAAATGCACGAGTACTCGACTAATGTATCGATCAATTCAGTTGCCCTCTCTTCTGTCCACAATCTCCATGCCTAAAACAAATTAAGCTCATTTTTGGTTCAATATTGTACATTATGATAGCATGAAAATACCATAATCTCAACACTTACATTCCATAAGATTGTGGTGGTGGTTTGAATGATACCCTCTATTCTTCTTCCCACTTATTATTTTCAGCAGTAAAACATCAAAACTGAAGACGTCAGATTTTACTAAGAACAACCCATAAATATCATATTCTGGTGCCATATAACCACGGCATTGCAACATCAAAAGTTAAACATGTTAAAGAGATCATAGTATTCCTAAGAACAAAAAAAAGGTTCATAGTCAAGTAGACATACTATGTCCCAACTACTCTATTAGTATTTTCTTCACTTTGATCTCCAAAAATTCTGGCCATCCCAAAATCTGATATTTTTGGATTCAAATCATTGTCAAGTAATACATTACTTGCTTTGAGATCTCTGTGAATAATTCTCGATCTAGAATCTTAATGAAGATAGAGAAGCCCTCGATCAATTCCACATATGATGCGAAAGCGTTTTGGCCAATTTAAAAATTTTCCACTTGTTCCATCTGGTAATTTTTTCCATATATCAAATTAGTATCTTCCCTCATAACAACCAATTAGTTGCATTAAACTTATGAAAACAAGAAATGCACTATTCCAATTGAATTTGTTAGTTTTTGAGATTCAAACCAAAAATATAGGAGTCCAAGCTTCTATTGGGCAAGTATTCATAAATCAACATTTTCTCTTCTCCTTGATTGCAACAACCATGAAGCTTTACGAGATACCTGTGCTGAAGTTTGACAATCAATATTACTTCATTTTTGAACTCCGTCAATCCTTGTCTAGAACTTTTTGAAAGCCTCTTCACAGCAATTTCTTGGCCATCTACTAAAGTCCCCTGAAAATGAGTAGTTGTGGATAGAGATATTCTTGAATAAATTAGTGTTTTTTAACATCCTCTAGTCATTAGCTTGTTGCAAGCAACTTACCTTGTAAATGTTGGGTTTCCCTCCTTTGTGGGACTCATCAATTTGCTAATTTTTTGGTGGTTTACCCGTGTAGGACTCTTATCCAAGACTTGGTTTGGAGTCTTCTAGTTAAAAAGGAATTTGGCAGCCATCAAAGACTATAAGTTTTGTCCTTTTTCTTTGGTTCATCTCTTCTCGGTTGGTTAGGCAAGAAGACATATTTTCGGCAGTCTTTGGTTCAACAAAAGTTCAGCCTTCTTCTTCTCCTTTTTTGGTGCCAGAAAAATCTGTAAATTTGTTCTTCAAGTGAGTAATATTTCTTCACTTGATATTTGGGTTTCTTGCAGTTTGTTCTTGGAGATTTGGTTCACTTATTTTGTGAGGTATTTTCCTCTTGTGATTTACACCTTGGTGTGTTTGTAAGGCTTATGTCTTTTGGCCACTTTGTAATCTGATTTGGTGATAGTGGAAGAAACTGACCTACCGGTCGTCGTGGATGTACCTCAAGTTATTTGAGGGAACCACGTAAATCTTGTGTGCTTATTTATTTTCTGTTATTTTATTTATATTGCTTCCATTGATTTACACTTGTGGGAAAGCCTATTTTCCCAACAGTAAACGGGTCCAAAACCACCTTGTCCAAGCTTATTGTTTGTTGAAAAGTTATTAGTAGCAATAGATATTGTAGCCAAGTTAAATGATGGTAAATCCAAGCCGTTATCATTTGGGCTCTCTTCGCTATGACCATTTTCAGCTACAGTATATATAAACAATGGCACAATACTTATTACAGGAAACACCACAAAAAAAATAATAAATAAAGTAAACAACAGGTACTGTATGGATATAGATGGGCAATTGCAATATTTGTGTCAAAACCATATGTGAAAAAATGGATTTCTTTTCTTAAAAGCTCAAAAATTACGAATTACATAATCAAGAGTAAGGAGTTCTAAGTGTAGTATGCCCTCTCCCTTATTTTCCACCATTGAAAGCTTTTTACACTGCAATCATAATAGCTCTCCTGTTCAGACAATAACACTGTAAAACAGAGTTCTTCATCTTTTCTTATATAGTTACAAGAATAAGAAAGAAGTTCCACAAAATAACTTCACTACAAGTTCTATGGAAATCAGCATCCGATTAGTTTAAGATTTTACCTTTTGTCTTGCCTTTCCAAATGTGATAGCTGACAAGAAGTATCCCAGCAATTCCTCCAATGGTGGCTACAATAGAAACGGGTATGATCCATTTTGTACCATCTTTTGCTTCTCCAGGATCCGATTTCCCTGTAGTCCCATTGTTTGTCCCTTCTAGAAGCAAACAGTTACATTTATGTAGGACAAAATCGACTGATAATTTATAAAATTTAGTAAAAGGCTCTTCAAGCAGCAGCTAAAGCAAAAGAAAAACAAATACCTAAGCTTGAAGCCGGCATTCTTATGTACAAATTGTCTCCGCCAGTGGCGAATTGTCTGATATCAATCAGATCACCAATCCAAATTGCACAACCACTACCATTTTCTCTGATATCCAAGTTTGTATAAGCCATGCAAGAGCAATTCTTTAAGCACTTGTCCCTGCATTCATTAAGATTCATACTTTGGTTCACCCAACAATTAGCAGTATCTGGCACTTTCAAGCCAACAAATTTAAGAAAGCCTTCGGTACTGTGGCAATTCAGTGGCTCGTTGCGTATGCATCCCTGTGACCAGTCCATTGATTTCCATTTTTCTGGTGATTTTGGCTTGAATCCTTGCAGACATTGGCAAACAGGGGGGGCACCGAGGTCACAAATTCCATTGGCACCACATAGATCATAATCGTCACAATAATCTTGTGGCCATGAGAAATATGGCTTCCAAATCTGATCAGATTCAATCCAAACAGGGCGCTCTAGTGCAGAGGTGGTTTGGTTCACAACAAGCCTTGAGATTACAGATTTATTTTTCAGCTGATATGTATAGAATACCTCCTCTTCATTGTAGCTAATGTTGAACCGAAATAACGGATTAGACCTCAATCCAGGAGTACCACTGTATCCAATGCCATTCCAGGGGCCACTTCTACTGTACTTTTTTTAGCCCTTCCATATAACTGCCTCAGGATATGGAGGATGTACTATCCCATAAGTTAGTTCTCCAGGTGAAGGGTCTTCGGAATTCTTCCATGAAGATAGCCGCCTGTTGAGACCATTTCTCAAGTCACATCCAACCTTCATGCCTGGTAACAATGTATCAGATGGATAATCAAAGCTCTGCCAGACAAAAATGTCTGAATTTCTTTCTCTCTCTTCTCTAATGATAAATTTCCAGAATCTAATAGCTGTGCTACTGGATTCTGGACTTGTTTCAGTGAATTCGATGACCAAACGACAACATCTTTGTGACTGACAAGACAAGATTGCCTGTTTTGTTGAACATCAATGTGCCCGACAAATCTTTGATTGGGCTTTGTCTGTTGGCCACCCAAACGACAGTTCTAACGGGGATGTTCTTGTACCAAATTCCCAAGTACCTGTTCTTGGAACTGCCCGGACTGAAAAAACCAAGTTCAAAGCTTCCGTCTTCTGAAATTAAGGTCTTGCCATCACTAAGAGAGAGGTTTGGAGTGATTGTATAAGATAAAACAGAGATAATCCACGATAAACAAGGCAAGTGAACATAAAAAAGCATAGTCAAAAGAGGGCTCATTGTTATGTAATGTCGCTTACCTTTGATATTTGGCAGTAATCTAAAAGAAAAAGGCTAGATTATGGAGCAATTTGCATAAACAAACTAGAAAATTTTGACTTTTACGCTGCACACAAGTCTATCTGGGCAAGAGATTATCTACGATATAAAACAAAACAAGTTTCAATTAACTCATCCGACTGTTTCAAATAGAGCCATCAACCTCCCTTTTAAAATCATTCACATTAAATTTTCACGGGTTACCACTAATAAATAATTAAAAATAGATTTAGGATATAAATATTCTTTCTTAATAGTAAATATATATACCCTCATTATCAAATTTGTTTTATTTTGTCAAAGATCTACTAAATTGTTTAACTGTGATGAGATTAAAAGTTGAGAAAGGCTACAGAAAAGATCAATACGTTGTTATGTCAAGAGTTTTTTTTAGATTTTTAACCTTTTTTTTCCGGACTACATACCAGAATTTATTGTTTTGGTGTTGGTCAATACGTTCTCCAATAAGAAGGAAAGGCAGAATAATTTCATCCATTTATCGTCTAAATGTACTAAAATTAGACCCAAACTTGTTAATATCACGTCAATTCTTTATTGATTCCTAACTTGTACGTAAAAGTACAAGACTAATTAAAATTGGGGACTCTAAAAAATTTTAAATGGTCTTAAAATTTTATTTGAGGAACCTCAATTGGGAGCACTCAGGCAGCTGCTTAGCAGAGGTGTTAATTTTTGACTTGAACACGAATCCGACTTGAATCGAATCCGACACGAACCCAAAAATAACATGATTCGTTGACACGAGTAATAAATGAATCAAATTAATGTTCGACACGAATAACACGATTAATGGGTACTATAGATTGAAAATAATTATTTAATGAGTATTTTAGATAGAAAATAAGAATTTTATAATTTTTTAAATAATATTATATTAGTTGTTGTCAAATTAAATAATTTTTTATTAACACGAATATTGACACGAACCCGACACGTACCGAAAGTGATATAACACAAAAATAATACGACCAAAAATAACACGACACAAAACTGATACACCCTTGCTCAGCAGCCTATGCCTAAGGCCGCCTCGAGCGTGTAGACCGAAGTCTGAGGTAATTAAAAACACTTAAAAATTTGCTACGAAGACTTCAGCACCCACTCTTTAGTGGTTGGCCAATGAATTTTTGAAATGGGTCATTTCAGGGAAGAAAAAAGATAGATTCGTGGGAAGACTTGAGAAAATATTAGCCGGACTGAATTAAGAGTGGCAATAAACCGTGCTCTCTGCACGTTTGTATCGTATTTGTATCATGCGTGTCAAAGTTTATTTTATTTATATCAAATTTATTTATAATTTTATATACTCGAATTCGTATTATTTTAGGTTTGTGTCAACTTATATTCAACACGCTCCACCATTGCTAGGACCAAATTCAAATTTATTAATTTCGTATTGATATTTGACCAAATTTCAATAGTTGGTTAAAAATTTTTGAGGGGCCCCAATTTTAATTAGACTAGACAATTTAAAATATGTTTTATAAATCTAATAAGAAATTTAGATAGAATTAGTTGATAAACATATATTCTAATTAGACCTTTCAAAAAAAAAGATCGATACAAACTCCCAACATATGGTACAAATGCATAAGATTATAAATGAGATTGATTGTAACAAAAATTGACACGATACTAATATGTTTTTACTTCAATTTAGCTGTACAACTCTCCCTCTCTTAAGCATACACACACAACTATATCATGAAATCACCATCACATTTGGAATCAAGTAACAACTTCCATGTCTTTGTTTCCATTGCGCAATTCCTCTCACATTTCTTTATTCTTAGGCCCATCATCGCTTTGTTCTCTGTTAGAGTTAGAATTCCAATTCAAATAATATGATAAATAAAAAAGTTGGAATTTGTTGGACTATGTGGTTAAAATATCTCGATATTAATTAAACAACTGTTAGTGGTCAAATCCAAAATATATAAAACCTCAATCCGTTGGTTAAATATTGCATTATTCATAATATATATTATAAATATATTTTTTGTCAAATTATTATATATTAATTAATTATTTTATAAAGATGTATGCATATATATATATATATATTGCATTGATATAATTAGATGTTTCGATTGGATCTTTTCTGGTCAGTATAAGTGACTGGGTTAGAAGGACACATCACGTATGAAAGACTAGTCAATCCTACTTAGAGTATGATTAGGATATTTTAACTGCAAAAGGTTGAGAAAATATTGATGGAGTTGAAAAAATATTAGGGAGTTGAGGATATTTTGCTGCATGATAATGGCTAGTTGAATCATCTTTTATAAATAAGATTTTTTGCATACAGAAAGAACACACCAAGAAAACACTCAATTTGTAAGAAAACTCATTGAGGAAAAATTTCAACTCTATTGCTTTTATGTCAAAGAGAATTTTTAATTCTTAAAGGTTATTTGTCAAATTTATCAAATTCTGTTCGATTTATTTCTATATTAGGATAAGAGCATCAGACGATCACCAAACGATCAAAACTTTTCCCATCATTTTTTATCGTATTGATTTTCTATTTTTCAATTCTTGTTTTACTGATCCCAAAACAAATAAGAATCTCCCCGCCAATTATTTTATTGCCCAGCTTTTTGCTTCTATCAGATTCCAAAAGCAAAGTCAAGGCCACCATAAATTCATGTCCAAAAGTCATCAAGACTTGCACGTTGTGGAGTATTCAACGTTTCACTCGACTGCAAGTGGACAACTGCTGACTAGTAAATCTGTGACAACATCAAGGAAGCTGTTTATTCAAGCAAAATTTTTGGAACAATAGTCCACTCGAAGTACTCTTAAAATTACACTTTAATAACAAAGTTAAATTGGGTTAGTTCTAACTAATTTTACCTAATAATTTATTTTTCTTTAATTTGTCAAATATAGGATCAAAGGCTACAAGTGTAGAACTTAGCAAAACTAAGAGACTTAATGGTACTAATAATTCAACTTGAAAACGTAGGATTTGTCACATATTATTTCAAAATAAAGTTGAATATGTCATTGATATACCATACCCAGAAGAATCACCTATTAGAGTCGAAGAGGCTGCTAGAAACACCTACGAAAGATTCGTAGAGAACGACAAATTAGCTTGGTCAATTTTGCTCACTTTCATGGAATCCGATTTAGAGGTTATTTTTGAGGAACATGAAACTGCTAAGTCTATGTTTGATGGTATAACACAAGCTCATGGTACTGTCTCTAGCATATATATTCAACTATTCATACTACTAATAAAAGTACTTTAAGTGAAAAAATTTTAATTCTCTATTATACCCTTATAAAGAATTTTAATTACTACATTATTTTTCTATAGTTTAATATCTAAATTATAATTACGTCCTTATGTATTTAAATCTCTAATTTACCCTATAACATTTCTTTTACCTCTCTATTATTTTTGTATAAATATCAATATCTATAAAAAAATTAATTGACTATGTTACTCTTAAAAAAATATATGTATCATTATAGTTTTCAATAAAATGTTCAAAAACTTCATCAATAAATCATATTTTTTAAAATATATAGATAAGATAATTTTGTTAAAATAAAGGAGGTGAAAATCGGTGACCACAAGTTATACATGAGAAATAATACTTATTGTGATGTGCTTGGAATTGGCACTATGAGAATTTCGTTTCCCAGGCAAAACAACCTCCTCTTGACTAATGTACTTTATGTGTCTAATATGCGGCGCAAACTTTTATTTGTGCTACGATTAGATGATATGGGTTTTGAAATCCATTTTTAGTCTTCTAAAGTTTTTATTGGTAAAGATAGTTGTATTCTTGCATGGGATACTAAAGTTGATGGTCTTTGCCGGTTGAATGTTGCTAGTGATAATAATAAAATTGGTTCTTCTTCTGCTTATATCGATGTCTCTTGTGATGTTAATGTTGATTATATTTTATGGCATATGAGATTAGGTCATATTAATTATAATAAAATGAAAAAGATGGCTAACATTGGATTGATTTCAAATTTAGATCTTGACTTGAAACCATGTGAATCTTTGTATAAGTGGAAAAACGACTAGAAAGTCATTTGAAAAATTAGAAAGAGTTAAAGATTTGCAAGAATTAATACATTCGGATATTTGTGGTCCTCTAAATGTTAAAACCCATCGTGGTATGAAATATTTTATTACTTTTACCGATGACTATTCAAGATATGATTATATATATTTACTAAAAAATAGATCGGATGTCTTACAAAAATTTATTGAATTTAAGGCAGAAGTAGAAAACCAACTAGGTAGAAAAATTAAAACATTAAGGACGGATTGAGGTGGTGAATACATGACTAAAATTTTTAAATCTTTTTGTAAAGAAAATGGAATAAGACATCAATTAACAATTTATTATACACCTCAACAAAATGGTGTAGACGAAAGGAGAAATAGAACACTTCTTGACATGGTTAGATCTATGCTTAGTTATGCACACTTAAGCACTAC